GCCTAGTAAAACTTAAAATTCTTTTATTCAAAAGCCAATTTTCATCAATGAAATGGTCGGTAACACAAATATAACTAATATTAAATTTGGATGTCCAAACATCTGAAGTAACTGTAACTTTAGAATTAAGATTTGCTAACAAAGAAATTAAATTTTGTTTATATGAATAAAAAATTTCTAAAGCATCAGTTCTTATAGGATTCCTATAAACTTTTTTATATTGTGGGTTTACAGAACTACGCAACCATTTTTCTAGTTTTGGATCTTCAGCTAACATAAATGGTTGTTCTACACGCACAATATACTTAGCAAGTTCTTGTTTCCTTTTTTCTTGTGAATATCTAAAAGTACCAAAGCTAGTCCCCCTCTCAATCTATGTTTGGGTTGTTTCTCTCCCTTCATCTTCCTCTCGCTCATGTGTGAGCAAATGTCTACTCAAATGACTCGTATCACCCTTGCTACAATAGCTAAAGTATTTCCTACATTTTTGAAAAATGACCCTTACTCTTCCCCTCAATATTCTCTACTTTGAAAAATTTTCAAACAGGGTCRCTCAGCTTAGAAGCCCTCCTTTTTCCCATAGTACTACTACTACTGGGGGTAAGAGTTCCACTTTCATCGACATCAAACGCATCAGTGCTAACACTAATACTATCGTGATGCGATTGAATGTCATCCATGGTGAACATGTTGGGGAATCGGTTTTGTGAAGGGTCAACCATTTTTTTATTCTAAAAAGATAAAAATTAATCTAATTCGACTTACCCGGATTGTCGGTTCAAAATCCCAACTTAATTTCAACGGTTGAATCCTTTCAACGTCCAAGCCTCCCAAATTGAGATATTTGAGCTGGTTGAGCAAGCCTTCTTCTTGTTGAAAGTTGAAACTTCGATAAAGTTGAGACTTGAGAACTGGAGAATGCAGAATCAGACAATCAACTAATCAAAATTTCTCAGATTGCAGATAATTGAGAATATATGAGTATGAGAGAGAGAGAGAGAATTAAGAAAATTGGTGAATTGGTGTGATGAGAGTGGTGGAGGATAGGGCTATTTATAGGAATTGGACATAATTCAATTATCCAAAATACCCAAAAAACTATATGTTATTTGGTTGTTGGGAGGGGTATTTTGGTCATTGTAAAGTTACTTATAACTTTACCCAAAATGCCCCCCTAAACTAGTTGTTATATAGCTGTTGGGGGGCATTTATGTCATTTTTTCAACCCCCATAAGCAAAATACAGAAATACCCCCCTAATATGGTTGTTTATAGCTATTGGGAGTATTTCTGTAAACCCCCCCAAAAGCTGAAACTAGTCGTTGGGCCCCTTCCTAAAGGGGCCGGCCTGATCCGATTTACTAGGGTTGGATGTTAGCGCATTCAAGGTAGAGAGTGATGAGGCGGTCTCTGAGGTAGAAGGGGCGGACGTCGGTGGTTGAATGCTTGGAAGGGTGATTCCAACATCTCCAAGCTTCTTCGTCGTCGACGAACAATGCCATTGTTAATGGTTTGCCCTCTACCCCTCTTGGTTGGCTGGCTCTGTTTTTCTCTTCAGAGCTTGTCCTGTTTGGGTTTTGGGGGGCAGGGGGATGGGGTAGTGAAGGGTTTTATTGCCATTGGCTTCAAATGAAGAGTTAGGTTTAACCATGGTTAAGATGTTGGGATGGTTGACGGTTGATGGTTGACATCCATTCGCGTTTGGTAAGCATTGAGTCATTAACCATAACCTAGAACGAGGGCTTGACTGGAAGGTTGTCAATGTTGGAAAGGATGGGCTAGTGGACATGGTTGAGGGAACGAGCTTAGCAACTCCTGGGATCAGCTACTAATGGAAGGTTGATAAAGAAAATTAGATGACACGTAAAGGGCATTTGTGTTTTTTCCCATGATACTTAACGGTGAGTTAACTTCATGTACTAAATCGTCGCAAAATGAAAGTTTGGATACTAGATTGTTGCGTTTTAAAGTTCGGATACTAAATTGGTACTTGGCCTAAAGTACATGTTACCTATAAGGAATTTTCCCTTAGTATTAATACAAAAAATAAAGGATACTATCATGTTTTAGTTTTTAAGTAAAAATTATCCACACATGTAAGAACCAAAGAGATGAGAAGCCTCCGTGTGAGCATTGTGGAGCAAGACCCTTCACCTCTCCTCTTTCTTGTTTAATAATAATAATAATAAAAATAATAATAATAATAATAATGAATTTTTCTCTCTTCATTATTGAGAGAAAAATGAATAATAATGAGAGAATGAWTTTTTCTCTCAATAATAATAATGAGCATATATAATAATAATAACAATGAATTTTTCTCTTCATTATTGAGAGAAAAATTCTCAATAAATGAAAATTTCTCTCATGAGCATATGTGTTAATGTAATTTTCTCTTTTCATTATTGAGGTAGAAAATACAAACACTACGATGTAAAAAGTACATCATTTGAAAAGTGAAACGATCAGTTTAAATATAATGAACCGTTAAAGTGAAAAAGGTATAGTTAGTGCGTGTAAAAAATTACATCGATAAAATCTAGGTAGCCTTTACATCGCTTATCGGTGTAAAACTCCACCATGAGTGGAATTTACATCAATTTTTTATGTAAAACTTACTTAAAAAATTGATTTGATCAACAAACCACTAACTTGAACGATCAAATCATTTGAACCATCCAACGGTTTTGGCCATTTTTTTTTTTAATTTTTTCTTTATTTTTTTGTTAAAACGGATCATCCATTCGGTTCAAACGATCGGATCGTTCAACCTGAGAACCAGACCCCTTGTTCGGTTTGGTTTTAAAAACCTTGGTTCAAATGAAACTCCCCAACTTCCCTCTATTCATCTTTTATTCCCGTCTCTCCATTTTTAAGGCCCATTTCCCTCGTTTAGAAAATCTTTAGATGGTTCTTCATCTTCTCCATGTACTTTCCCATATATGCATAATCTCATGTTCCATTTAAAATAAATGAAAATGAATAAAATCTAATAAAAGTTAGTAAAAATTAACACAAATTTATTTAACAAAAAATAATGGAAATAATAAAAAAAGAAAATTCATTTCAATTCAATTTAGAATAATAAAAATTAACAACAAATAATAATTTAACCATAATAAAAATTAGTAAACATTAATATAAAAATTAATGCAAATTTATCTAATAATACATAATTCAAAAATAATGTCTGAGTTGGAATAAATTTGGCCTTGCCCATTTTTTAATATCATAAAGGGACATGCAACTTGAATTATATTTTCTTTTGGTAAGCCGAAAGATGGGGGAAGCACGTCCCCACAGAACGCTGAAACAAATAAAACTCAATTCTCTTGGAACTCCTTCAGCAAAAGACGTTGAATTTTATTTAAGAGAATACAACTTGAATTTTATTTAAAAGAAAGCCCGTACATCGCACGGGGCCCGTTAGTAGACAAAAGACCTATATTATATAAATCATTCCTTTGATAAGCCAATGGATGAGGTGTTTTATTGCTCAGCTAGCTTCAAAGTCTTTTTTTTTTTTATTTTGTTCCTAGGTTGAGCAATGGTGCGGCGCATTATCCGGCTCAACGAGGCTTGTCGGTGCAGGAGCGCTTTCAGTTTATTTGTCCGAAGCTGGTTGTTAGAGCTGACCCTGACTGCTGCTGATTCTATAGGCTCTGTTTGAGTTGTCTTTTCTGTTACGTTTTCCCCCCCAATCTTGGTTGTATTCTCGGACCTGTGCTGTGTTTCTGACTTTCTTCTTCTCTTATGTGGATTCATATTGGGTCATGCCTTTGCTTTTGGGCCAGGCTCAGTCGTAACCCGATGGTTCAAGCCCAAATCATGCAAAGCCGTGGATTGGGCCACCCAATTTATATCCTGCTATGTCGGTCAGCCGACGGGAGGTCATAGTTATTTCACATACCTAAGGGGTGGTCTATCTTTACCAGAAAAAAAAGGGGTGGTCTATCACTTCAGTCATCCAAAAAAAAAAAAAAAAAAAAAAAGAAAAGAGGAAAAAAAACCAAGGGGAGGTTTTAAAAGCTTAATAAACGTACAAAGGGCAGATTTAAGTATTTATTCTTACTAAACTATCTTGGCAAAATCTAGATGCCTAAATCGTTTCCAATAGTCAATGGATGACTAAATACACTAACATTAGGAAGTTCACAGAATCATGACAAGCGAGGAAGTAGGAGAATATGATCCATCTTGCCCTCACCTTTTCCACATGTTTCATAAAAAATAACGCGTTTAAAAATTTTAAGAAAGAAAGATGAGGGTGTTTTCGTAATTACGTTACCTAATATGTTGGTAAGGGAACAAGGGATGAGAGAGCTCTTGTACTACATTTCCACACCATTCGGCAAGAGTAATTTCGGTGTATGACGGAGGAGATTAGGGGTGACAATTTTTCACCCAATCCAAATCAAACTCAACCCAACCCGCCCGAGTGTAATTTCGGCTTCAGTAAGTGCAGGGGCCGTTCGAACAGCCTTACATTGTGAATATTTTCGTACCTTATATCATGAGGAGATATTCCCAATGTAAGGCCATAAAGATTATTCGAACGGGCCTGACTGAAGCCGAATTCATAGAGGTCTTATACTACATAAAAAATACGACCGGTTGCTTTACTGATTAGTTAATCTTTTTGCATGTAACAAGTTTTTGTCTTTTAGCAGATGTCTATCAACGTGTCATCAAGGAGCGTTATGGTAGCACTCCCCGAAGCTACTCTCCTAAGCTCAAAGTCTTGAGACTCTTCAATAAACTCGCAACAAGTATTAACAGGGAGCAACATTATTCGGTCTTTCTCCATTTCTTTATTGTATATCAGCACTGTCTGGGTCTCTGCGTAAATTGCAACCAAGCAAAGATCTGTATTTCTTCGTTGCCCTGTTTCTTCACTGCTGCCATTATCAAGCTATTCAGAACGGCTAACCACCCATTCGAGGTAACTTCTCTCTCACCATGCCTGTCACTTTAAATCTCCAGATCCAACTTAACCGACGATCCCATCGACATTGACATAAGGGCCCTATACGATTTCTACACACCAGGAATCCAGATCTACCAACTGAGTCTTTCAGATTTATAGCCTGTCATCATGGGATTTCATGCTAATCTCTCAAGATTGGCAAGAAAACCCTGAAATCTTGAAAACGTTTGGCAAAAATTGAAAACCCATATTCTAATTGTGTATTTTGCTACCTGAAAATTTCTTTTGAACTTTGTTTTTTGAACACAATTGCACCATCTTAAAGGGTTCTATTCCTGATTGTTAATGCAATATTGGAGGTGAAATCTTTTCTGTATTTCTTGTTTTTCTTAACACCCTGAAATGAAACCATTCAAGTGATGTGAGAGTCAGAGAGTGGGTCTATATGTTCTGCAGAAGTTGTTTCATCTGTCACAGTGCATGATCTGGCCTCAGTTTAGGCCGTTACTTCTAATGCACACTCGCTTTCTTTTCAATTAGTAAAATGGGCTACTCATAAAATTGCATTACTGTATCATTCTGGGCTTGCCTGGATTTTTACTCCTTTCTTTTTAATTTTTTTCCAGGTCATAGCTTTGGACATTTCAGAAATTCAACAAATTTAAATGGGAAAGTTGATTCTCCGATGGCTGACGAGATGGGTTTCAATTGCGAGTTTAGATAGCTTGGACTATATTTCTTGTGAAAAATGTGTAGGATCCTTGTGTTCCTGGTTTTAAGTGGAAGTTTTAGGTTTTCATATTATTTGCAAGATAGAAATTGATAGAAGAGGATCGTCTTTTGAAGTAAAAAGCTGTTACAATGATTGGAAAGTCGCTACTGTTAACCTACCTTTACCTGCTGGTGTATATATTGCTCTCATCAGGTGTTATTTTGTACAACAAGGTAATGCACCTAAATGTTTTTTATTCTTTTCATTTTGTTGTGGTTGTGTATATCCTTGTAGCTTGCATGCTTTTTTGGTTGGTGTTGATTTTCTGAATTTATCACCATTAACATTGGATCCATATTGATCAACATCCATCTACCAAAGGGTTCTGGCTGTTGTAAAATCATTCTTAGGGTATTAGTGGCTTGGGACAAAGGAATATCATTTCTTTTTCTGCCTTACTTTATTAGATATCATTCTTATACTCACAACTGTCTATCCAAGAAATTGTGAACCTCCGAATTTTGTTTTTGTGCATAGATTGTGAGTAGTTTCAACTATTTTCTTTTGTTGGGATCCTTTCTTATATAATTCTCGCTGTACATGGGTGTTACTTGTAAATCTTTTTCTCACAACCATTCAACTAAACTCAGCCTTAACCCCGAGTATTTTCCTACATTTTGCTCTATTAAGACTAATGCTTTCTCTTTTCCGTCAAATTGTAAATCATTGGATCATTTCTTACCACTTTAGCCCACATTTTCTTTGGTCTTCCCCTTGCTCTTTCAGAACATTCTACTTGTGCCAATTTACTCATCACAGACACACATAGTACAAAAGTTAAAGAAAAAAGAAAAGAAAATTGGAATAGGATGTTGTCAAATTTGGTCTAGAGTTTTTGGGGTCATCCTAAACTTACTTTTCTGTTCAAATCCAGGTAACTCCCAGCCTCATTTGCATATTAAGCCTTGAATATTAGCCTGAATCTGGAAATTGGACCTAATTTCATTTCATTGTTTGCCCTGACCAGTATTTTTTTTGATCAGTGATGAAGCCATGCTAAAATTTAAAGAAATGYATTCTCCTTGTTTTTATTTTAATGAAAATTTCTTTTAATGTAATAAATATTAAAATAAAAAATGGCATAAAATGTACTATGTGTAACCATATGGAATAAAGGTATAGGAAAAATAAAACACCACAGTGCCTAAGATCCCACAAAGAGGTCCTAAAGCCTCATGTATGCAATGGAAACCTATCAACATGCATTATTTCCAGAGAGAAAGGGTCCAAAATCAAAACAAAATATTCCAAAGTTCTCCATTCACATCTATCAACCTAACAGCCCACAAAAGAAAAGCTTTCCACCATATTCCCATTTCCCACCCTACTAAAGCTTTCCAACCTCTATGTTTTTTTTGAGCAAAGGTAAAGTATAATTGTATTGATGTAAAAGGTCCTTTGTACAATGCGAAGCTATACACACCAAAACAGAAGGACCTCAAGAAAAGGCCATCCTCAAAAAATTACAATCAGGAGTAACCTCTTTAAATTCATTATGTATAGACAGCCAACTTCTAACAAAACCTAAAGCCGAATTGATGACTTCAGCTTCAGTAGAGGATTTAAGATCAAAGACCCTGCTGTTCTTTTCTGTCCAAACCGTCCACATAATTGCTAAGGGAATAGAAGACCAACAAATCTTTCCTTTCTTAGTCATCCCTCGGATCTGCCAAGCCTCCAGGCATGCTTTAACTGAAGCTGGTATACACCAGCTTACCCTCAGACTACTTAAGAAGTGGCTCCAGATCTCTGAGGCAAAATTGCAGTGTAAAAATAGATGGTTTACTGATTCTGTTTCCCCACCATAGAAACTGCACCTCAGGTCACTGCAGTTAAAACCTTTTCTTACCAACATCTCTCTGGTGAGACATTTCTCTAAAGCTGCCCCCCATACAAAAAACTTTACTTTAGAGGGAGCCACTGTTCCCCAAATGGCCCGGCTTGGGAAGGGGGCTTCAAAGCCTCCCCTTATGGCATTGTAGAAGGGTTTAACTGAAAACTCCCCACTTCTGTTCCCTTTCCACACTAGAGAATCCTCGGAATGCAAATTCAAAACCTGAGACTGAAGCAAAACCAAGAGATTCCCCACCTGCTGAATCTCCCAATCATTTAAGTCCCTTCTAAAGGTTGGAGCCCAGCAAATAGCATTATCCCTTGTTTTTTTTTTTTCCGAGAAAAAGTTAACTTTATTCATGAAGAGAAAGGTACATGAGGAGATGTACACAGATCAAGAAACTCAAAGAGTGACATAGGCAGAAAATTATCACTGAATAAGAATTCCCTGTGAGCTCCAGATTTAGCTAGATTGTTAGCTTCAGAATTTAGCTCTCTTGGAATCCAGCCCACATGTGCATTCAAGGAGGAGAGGACGTCTCTCGCTTCAGCCAAGTAGTGAGCTAAGGCCCGATTTCCACTATCAGGATTGGTGAGTCAGTTAATGGTGTTGGCTGAATCTCCTTTAGGCTTAATTGGAAGGAGTACAAATACAAATATGTAAAGCGCAAAACCTTATATTTTGTATGTATTTGCACTGTACATATATATTTTTTTATGAATATTTGCACTGTACATATTTGTATTCATACTCTTACCAAATTGAGCCTTAATGGTAAGATTTGGGTCTCTTGCAATCCTGATGCCAGTTAATGCTGCCAAGACTTCAGCCTTTGTTGAGGAAGCTATCCCAATTGGTCCACTAAAAGCCCAACTGATAGTACCATCTCTTCTTCGAATTATACCTCCAATACCAGCTGCACCTGGGTTTCCGAAGGCATTCCCATCAAAGTACAGAGTTGTCTCCTCTTCCTCGGCAAATCTGAGACTGCGGGAAGTGTTGAGGTGTATGTGATTGGAGTGAAGAAAGCTTATAGCATTTCTTTGGAGGTCAGCAAATGTGACACCTCTGAAATAAACTGAGCTGGAAGTCCACAGGAAGCATCTATAACAGATTAGAGAAATAAGCTCCTCACAGTTTTTTGTTCTGTTGTTAAACACCCGATTATTCCTCTCTTCCCAAATGCTCCAAAATATAGCATGTGCAACTGATTGCCACAAAGTTTTCCCTCTTTTTCTTAAACCCCTTCTTGTCCATTGTCCTAAACATTCAACCACATATTCTGGGAAGACCCAACTGTACTCAAACAAAGTTAGGAAAAAGTTCCAAAATTTTCTGGTTTCTTACTTTCCTCACAGTAAAGTAGGATGTGGTTGGTAGATTCCCTGGCTTTAAGGCAGAAGCAACAGACACGAGGGGATAAATAAGATCTTCCATGGTTCTTTTTCTGAAGGAGATCATAGGTGTTGATTTTCTTTAAGCTGGCCTCCCACACACACACAAAAAAAAAAAAAAAAAAAACTGACCCTGGAAGGGATATTGGGCGCACCAAATTCTCTTGTAGGGGACCAGGGGTACTGATCAGTGGTTTGTTCTTCCCTCACTGAAGCCTTGAAGCAAGATTTGGTTGAAAACTTACCAGAAGGGTGAAGGGTTCAGACATGAAGGTCAGGGGAATTTTGGGAGAGGTATACCTCTCTCAGGGTGTGCAAGAAGTTAGTGATTTCACTAAGTTCCAGGTCCCTTAGTGGTCTCCTAAGGGTTAGGTTCCAGTTGAAATGATGGGGGGGAGAGGGTAAAACCTGGGATATGAGAGCTTCTTGGTTTGTGATAAGGCTGAAAAGGCGAGGGAAGGAGTTAGCCAAGGTTGAATTGCCCCCCACCAAAGATCAGTCCAGAACTTAATTCTATCACCCTCTTATGTCTAATAAAAGAGATAAAGAAAGTGTAAGTCAAGGTTATACCCAAAGGGTGATTGTCTTTGACCTGGTTCAAGTGAAGGTTGCTATCCCAACCGTTGGCGTGCTTCCCATATTTGTTAGTGATTACAGCAGTCCATAGAGCACTTGATTCTAGGGGGAATCGCCACAACCATTTACTGAGGAGAGCTGTGTTTCTTTCTTTCAAGTGGCCAATTCCCAACCCACTTCCCTCCTTTGGTTTGTAGACCTGAGCCCAACTCACAAGGTGAGAGCCCCTTTCCCCACCTCCCTCCCAAATGAAATTTCTCTGAAGCTTTTCCAACTGAATGACAATCTTGTTTGGCAAGCTGAAAATAGAAAGGTAGTAGGTGGGTAGGTTTGCCAAAGATGCTCTAGTGAGAGTGAGTCTCCCCCCTTTGGACGGGCATTATCCCTTATCACAAATGAATCCACTACCACTGCTTCTTTATCTTCAGCCAAACTGAACAGGGTGGGAAACATATCCTTAAGGGAATTCTCCCCTGTCCAGGCATCCAACCAAAACCTGATCCTTCTCTCATTCCCAACTTTAAATCTAACTTCCCTTCTGAAAAGGTTCGAAGCTTTGCATATTCCTTTCCAACCTCTATGGAACAGAAAACTGCTGTAGATCAAAAGCTGGATGGCGTTCCTGAAACCTCTCCAACTCCTAGAAACTCTCCCTTCCCCCTCTTCTTTGCTTCTATAACACAGTACTCCAGTATCTCCCATTGGGCCAAAGCCTGTGAAGAATCACCCATGTCCTCCTTTCCACTAACATACCATCACACTAGACCACTAAGTCCTTCCTAAATTCATTGGCTATCTGTGGTTCTCATTCAATTAGCTGTATGCTCCTTTTGCTCCCTTCAAGCATACAGAAATATTCTTAGTCCTCACCCTTATGCACTTCGTTTTGGTTGCACTGTGAAGAAAGATGAAACAAAGGCATCATGAAAATGATGGAACATTTTTTTTTCCATTGAAGAACAATGGGTATTGAAAATAGTTCTTCATGTTATAGGCTTTTTATGTGAAGTAGAAACCACTACTGTGGTTATATTTTCTTGGAAAAAACCTTGAACTTGTAGGTGATTATTACCTTCCAAAATTAGAAAATTGTTTGTGCTCAATCATCAATATTTGGAAAAGATAATTTTATGGAAAACTCAAGGTAATGTGAGGCATGTAAGAGGGAAATGCTACGAGTCTTGACCTGGCGGTTCACACCAAAAAACATAATGCATTCATTTAAGTATGATTTTCATCACAAGAACTTGTTGAAGATCAATTCTAAGATTTCCAGTTTTATATCTATTTTGCTTTACACTAAGAGCTTCATAGGACTTGTAAGAAAGCTCTTACTACCTTGTAATTGTTGTTTATATGCTGAGTAGTTCATCTATACATTCTTCTCATTTACAACTATAGTCCTTTTTTGTATAGCTTTATACTTTTCTCATTTCAGTTCGTGATTGTTCCTTGAAATAATGGGATATCATAAGGCTTAGGCCCTATGCATTGGGAGACCCTAACTCCTTTCCTCATGCCTTAATGTTTTAAAATATTGACCTGAAGTGCATATGGTTCTTCAAATTGAAAACCAAGGCGAAATTGGATTTCTAGGAAACAAAAAATGATAGAAAATTTGTGATTGGCCCAAAGCTATGCTCTGCTAATGCTAAAAGTGCTTGGTGGGCTTAGTAAATTAGGGGAATTACTCAAGAAAGATAGTTTAGATGCGAGAGAAAGTCTATTGGGGCTATTTAACTGTGATTTTACCTAGAAAGCCTTCTACTTCAGAATCTGCAACTGCAGATTYTCCAAGGACTGAATTAAAGATAAAATCAAGGAAACTTTTAATAAAATTTTGTAGGATATTTTATAATGGTGGGCTATAAGGGAACAGAAGATCTTGATCATACCTGCATGTATTAGATTAATGAAACTTAGTTTATCACATCTCACAGATTTGATTTTATTGTTATGGAAATTATTTGATTTTACAGGTTTAATTGGTAGAAGTTTTAAACTGAATTAGTATTTTGTATTTCCATTAGCCATTCAGTGAAGGTGGAGTAGCGTGGAATKAGGATGGGGACAGGCATGACAAAACTTTTGAAGTTGATGATTAAGCTTGTCAGGGCTTTCTATTATTTCTGTTTTGTAATATCTGCTTTGTCGTTTTATTGTTGGGGTGTTATCTTAACGCCCGCTTGTTGCTTATATCCTCTTCCTTTTTCCTTTTAATGAATTTTATTTTTACCTTTCAAAAAAATGCCCACAGTATACAGATGAGAAGTAGATAAACAAAATAAAAATTTAAGAAGAATGCCCACAGTCTATGCATGTTTCAAACAAGTAAGGATTGTTATGTGGTCTTAAATATCTGCCTTTTTTGTAGTTTGCATTGATTTATCTCACTTAATTTTCTCCATCTACATATTTCATGTCATAGAATTTATTGCTGAAGGTGGTATTCAATCTATAATTAGTTTGTTTACACTCTGAATAATATTGATTTATGTACTAAACTTGATTTTGATTTATGTCTATTTTCATTCATTTGCAGTGGGTTTTATCTCCAAAATACTTCAATTTTCCTTTCCCTATAACACTTACCATGATTCATATGGGATTTTCTGGTGTGGTAGCATTCTTTCTTGTTCGTGTCCTTAAGGTATGTTTTTTTTTTTCCTTTTCCTTTTAGCTTTTGGTATCTTCATTCTTCATCTTAGCACCTAGGTTGCCAATTACATGCTCACCAACATGTGTTGTGCTCCTTTTTATCTTTCTCCTCCAGCTTCTGTAACTATCATTTTGGTGTTACTTAGCCAAATGAACATCCAAAATTGTGGTGTTCATTAAAAAAAATTGTAGTGTTACGTAAACATGCCTGCCATTCAGTATCTAATAGACATTAATAAGTTATCCTGAATGTGCAAATATATATTGAACTTTTTTTGATAAGTAACAATAAAAAATTATTAAAAAGAAAAACTGGATACAACCTAAAGGCAGGTGTTAAGACAACATCCCCCAAACCCAACAACATCTCCTACTACTCCCCTACATCAACAAAACAGAAAAGAAAACAGAAAGAGAAGCTACACTTGCACAACAACCACAACACCAACAAAACAAGACTACTAGGAAAGATCTATCTTCCACCTCACCAAACTCTTCTAGGTCTCCATACTCATCCCAGATTTCTTCCCCTAAGGCTTCAGAAGCCTTTCTCATATTCTCTTCCTACCTCTTTCATTTGAGTAGAAATCACTATTTGCTGATTCAGTCAAGCTTCTTGTGAGAGAAAGAGGGGGAAGGTGAAGATTTCAGCAGTAGAGAAGGAAGGAGAAGAAGAAAAGAGTAGGAGGTCAACTAGAGTTATGAGA